CATGCTCCATAAGGGCAAGGACTTTGTTTTGTTTATTCCCACATCCCTAGAGCCTGAGCAATGCCTGACACATGGCAGGTGTTCTGGACCAGTTGAATGAATGAATTCATCCATATATGACCTGGAAGTAGCATTCTGCAAAGAACAAAGACTCATTCTTGATGATTCTCAAAGTGAAAGAAAAACTACTACTTTGGCCTTAATTCTGGGAACCCCATGTCCTTCCAGTTTGCCAAGGACTTTTCAGGATTAAGGATCCTGCAAGGCAGCCAAGTGGAGAAGGCTACTCCAAGAAGAGGGAAGGTGTAGAGGCAGCAAATGCCAGAGCGTATTTTGAGAAAGAAGGGCAACACTGACGTCAGTGTGTCTAGATCACACTGCTGGGCAGAAGGGGAAAGAATGATAGGAGTTGAGGTTCCAAAGGAAGGCTGAGGGCAGTTTACAAGGAGACTGGTAAGACTTCTAAAATGTTCAGACTATATCTCATTAAGGTTAAAGATGAGAAAGAGCACTGTCAGCTTTGTGTTTTAGTTTCTGGCAGCAGAGTGGAGGATGACTGAAAAGGGATTAGTCACCCAGTGATGTGCCGGAGCTGCCTCATATTGGCTCCTGAGAGTCAACAGTTCAATTCTCAGGAACTGTGTGAGCTAGGGGACATCACATGTAGGCATCTAAAAAATGACCAGGTTGAAAATATTTATACCATGGAAACTGGCATACACTACAAAATCAGGGCTTTTCCTATTGTATCAGAAAGCTGGTTTACCAGCACACTCATGTAATAGAGCTACAGAAGCCAGCAGTAAGGTGCTCTGTTAACAGCCCAAGAGACATGATGAAGGCCTAAGACAGTGACCCGAAAAAAAAAAGAAAATGACTAAGTTGACAAATATTCGGACACTATAATGTGTAGGACTTAGAGACAAGCTGAAAATGGGTGATTAGGGAGAGCAAGAAGTATAGGGATGATTCCCAAGATTCTTGACTGAGTAACTGACACGAGGAATTCAGCTTTGCATTAAGTTCGACCACTAGGCGTCTTTGCATAAAGATAAAATTGATCATATTGCTGCCTCCAAGGAACTTGTCATCTACATGGGAAATAAGCACATATTTAACTAACCACATACAATCAATAGTAACAGAGAAGGTTAGAGGAAAATGGTAAAAAAAAAAAAAAAAAAAAGTGAAGTAATCCCACCTTTCCACATGTAGCACCTGAACTATTTGTTCATATGTAACTTTTGGTAAGTAAAACTAATCGTGCCTGTTCACTATCAAGATAGAAATGTCCAGTAGACAGTAATCCTACAGCTTAGAAGAGAGGTAAGGACCATGTATGTGTGTATTTGTGTACAACTATATTAATTTTGAAACCATGAAAAAAAAAAACAAATGATTTAGGAATGAATTTTAGAATGCACAGAAAGGGAAATGGAGAAGACTGAGTTCAGAAGCCAGACAAACACCAAAAATCTGGAAGTACATGGAGAAAATGAAAGCAATCAAGGAGACGAAGAAGTGTTCAGAGAGAAAGAAAAACAAGAAAGAATGGCAAGGGACGGTTTAGAGAAAGTAAGTGATAAGTGGCATCAAAGATCTTACAAAGATCAAACAGTGAAGGCTGAATACTGGCCATTGGACTTGGCATTTGAGGAGTGATTGTCCATCAGAAGAAGTCATATAATGCTTCTCTTTTACAGTTGTCTCATTCCTATAGGAGGTGTATCAGAAACAGCCCACAAATTATTCCAACTATGCATCTGCTCACCAACCCTATCAATCCTATCCTCTACCAGTGGCAGATCCTGTACATACTGAATCATTATTTCGGACAGAAATATTTAATTTTTTAGGAATGTTGCAGAGAATGGGTGGAGTGAACCACTGTAAATTAGGGGCAAAATGAAGAGGACTAGCAATCAAAGAAACTTGGAAAAGAGCACTTAGAGAATTTGGAAATCTTTTTTTAAGCACACAACTCACAAGTCACATGAAGGGAAGTATTTCAAGAAGAGTCAAACCCCTTTTACAAGTTCAAGTAAGGTAAGGACCAAAAAGTATCCATTTGATTTATTCACAAAGAGGTCATTAGAGACCTTGGCAAAGAGATTTCAATGACATAGAATGAAGGTGACTGGGTCCTTGAGGAGACAGGAAAAAAAAAAAAAAAAGACCCAGAGCACAGGAGGAAAACCATCCTTAGAAGCAGAGATTCCACTTACAGTATAACGAAAAATACAAAGGAAAAAGAAAGGTCAGTTACAGGATTAGGTTTAGTTTATATGTTGATGGCAAGAAATGGAGGAAGCTTTTATATGATGAGTTATCTTTTTTTCAGGGAAGTTTAAAGTCATTTATTGAATTTGAAAGGAGAGGTCTGAGAGAGTAAGGATTTAAATAATCACTGTGGAAGACAGAAAAGAGAACTAAATAGGAAAATACAGAAGGCAGAATTAAGGACTATTCACCTTTCAAAAACTGATTACAATTCCAGAATGCATTCTACTGAAATATACACCTATGCAAGTTCTATTTATACTTCAAAACTAATTCCTCCAGAAAGCCTTTCTTGACAGTTCCCTAAGCACTCCCCGTTATCCTCCTCTGTATTGTTTGACTCTGTACACAATGCTGCTATCCAGCAACACTATATTATAATGTTTAACTTTACAGCTTACAAGATTATTACCCTTTATTAAAATGGCAAGCTGCTTGAGGTTGTAAATTGCACACATATCAGGAGTTCAAAATTTGGTTAAATGGAATTTAAATCAAGATACAGAGATGCACTGGACAGAGATTCTAACCCAGAGAATCTAACACAATCTGGTTCAAAAACACCTCATCAGAAAGTTTTGACAAAAGTATATACATTATCAGAAGGCAAGGAATTAAGGGCAATAATACACAACACTCAGAGGAAAACAGTAATTTAGAATGTTATTTCATTCGTTTATAACCTACTTTGATCTGCAAATGTGTGCATATATTTACTGTGATGTTCATTAAAAAATGTGTGCAGACGCTTATTGTGATGTTCAATTAAAAAACTTTACTCTGGGCACCTGGGTGGCTCAGTGGTTTAAGCCCCTGCCTTCAGCTCAGGTCATGGTCTCGGGGTCCTAGCATCGAGCCCGCATCCGGCTCTCTGCTGGGCGGGAAGCCTGCTTCCCCCTCGCTCTCTGCCTGCCTCTCTGCCTACTTGTGACCTCTCTCTCTCTGTCAAATAAATAAATAATCTTAAAAAAAATTTATTCTGCACCCACCATATGAAAGGTACCATTATTAACTGTGGAGTAAAAAAGCAGTTCTACAATATAGCAGAAAAAGTCAGGTACACAAATTATTTTCAATACCAGGTAGAACGTGATGGCAATTAGGGAAGAAAATTAAGAACAGATGAGAAGAACTGTGAACTTTATACTGAAGGATAAGAGATTTGCGGCGTGTTAACTGAATTAATACAATTTAATGTACTTCTCAAATGTACTATGTTTAACTTATTCCCTAGAGTTTTCCTCTGTCCAAAACTATCAATAAATTGCTATATTCAATACCTATGGTTAATCCCTGCCTGAACTAATGTTCTGAACTCGTCCTCATGCATGCTTGTGGATAAACTTCTTGTAAAAAACTAGGCTGCGAGGGGCGCCTGGGTGGCTCAGAGGGTTAAAGCCTCTGCCTTCGGCTCAGGTCATGATCCCAGGGTCCTAGGATCAAGCCCCACATGGGGCTCTTTCCTTGGTGGGGAGCCTGCGTCCTCCTCTCTCTCTCTGCCTGCCTCTCTGCCTACTTGTGATCTCTCTCTGTCCAATAAATAAATAAAATCTTAAAAAAAAAAAAACTAGGCTGCGAGTGGGCCACCTGTGTAACCCGAGAATTTGTTAAGAGAAGGATGCTTCCAACTCAAGCTTTTTTAACATTAAGAGCTGTCATCTATCTGTCCTAGGTCTTTCACTCTTCATGGGATGCAACGCTTTCTCCAATTGCGGCAGCTGCCCGCGGCTGTCAACCTGGGTCACCGGAGTGCGGCAGTCCCAGGACTTCAGAGAAACCTCAAGTGCAGGAAGGGTAGAGTTGAAATGAGGAGCAACCAGAAATTAAGTGTCCCCTGGACACGCGGAAGGAAAGGAGCTGTTAGTCTCTGGAGAAACAGGTTGGCGAGGCCAGCACCCAGACGCCAGGGGGCCGGGCGGGGGGGGGGAGTGGTCACGTCGACACCGGAAAACTTTCTGCAAAGCGACGGGTTGAGTCCACCACCCGGGTCCAGGTGCGGAACAGAACAGTCCCCCGGGCCCACCACCCAGCCAGACCTAGACTCCTTACCGTCCTGCAGAAGCTCCCGGACTGTCGCTGTCACCGCCCCAGAGCCCAGAGCCCCTTGGCCAGCCACAGCGACGCCGCCGTCACCACCTTCCATGTTGGCAGGTGCCTGGGTGATGGCGTCACCGGCCGCTTCGCCCCGCCCGGGTGGTGACGCTTAATGCCGGCGCCGCCGGCTCCGCCCAGTCCGCGGCTCCTGGCCAGCGTGGAGAATTGGCTCAGCGGCCGCAGCTGCACGAATCCCGGCTGAGAGCAGCGTGGGGCCCAGAGCTGGCGAGCGCCCAGGGCCCGACGCGCGGGGGAAGCCGAGGTCACGGCGCTGGCGCCGTGCGCCGCGTCCTGTCGCGCCCCTGGGCTTGGCATCGTTCCCCCGGCTGAAGAGAAGGTGGGCGCGGGAACCTGGCAGAAGCGCTTATCTTTGTTCAAGTATTTAACCTGAGAACAGGGGCCTCTCGAAGGAGGCTGGACAGGAGAGCGGAGGTTTCTGGGAGCTTCGCTTGCACTCCACAAACACAGCTGGGGGAATTAGTAACTCCCCAGCCTTTTCTGTCACACGCCTTGGCTAATGGTCTTGGGGTAAAGGCTGGCGGGAAAGCTTGGGAAAGAAATTTGCGGGAATGAATACTAAGGGCAGAGTCAGGGAGAGCCGAAGGTTGGTGAAGAAGGAAGACTGAACCAGGAAAAGACAGGTGGACTCAGTCTCTGCCCCACCCCCTTGACCTTAAGCCTTTTCTCTCTCTTCCTCTCTTTTTCAGCCACGTGCTATGAGTGATGCCAAACTTTTTCCTCTGAACAAACTGATGGATTTTCCATATCTCAACTAACAGTATTGAAACTGTCAAATCAAGTTAGTTCCCGTTGTTTTCTCCTCTAATACAAATTCACTTAGATTTCTCCCAAGATGAATACTGATAATTTATCAGGTTAACCACTTTGTGCAAGAAGGTTAATCATTCCTACTTAAATAGAATCTGTAATACAACTTACCCTGTACACCGAGAAACCAGTTTTTCCTACTTCTGGAGCTACACGGTTCTCTCTATTCTGGTAATAGTATTTCAACAAGGTGCTATAATAGTACTTTGTGCATTTAATACTCATAATCACTCAGGTAAGCATGTCTTTTGATACACTGCCTATGCTTTCTCTTGACTTTGTCTCAGGTTTTTTCCTAGTATTTTTGGTCTCAATCAGGTCTGTCTATAATTGTTTCTGAATGAGTCGCATGAATTGTTCAGGGCAGCGTGCTCAGATTCACATTAGATTTCATTATCCATAATACACAGAATTTTTAATTCTTTAAGGATAAAACTCATCTTTGAATTACGGGATCTTTTTCTTTTCTCGGCTTTTACATTAGAAGATTCTAGAACAGTTGTGTAATACTTGTTCATTTCGTGAAGAGATTTGAGCCCCAGCCATACCCACCAGCACGAGTTTACAAATGAGACTCAATTCCTATCTTGTCCCAGAGGAGCTCATAAGTAAGGTAGAAACCCATGTAAACAAATTGTACCAGGTGCTTTGCAGTTTATGGGTTTATTAAGCTTAACTACAGATTGAAATCACCTGGAGAGCTTTAAAAAACCACTGATACCTGCATCTTAAGCCCAGAGATTCACATTTAATTGGACTGGGGTATGGTTTGAGCATCCTCATTCTTGAAAGCTCCCCAGATTATTCTAATGTACAACCAAGATTGAAAGCTACTGATTTATTCATCAAGCAAATACATACTGTGGGAGGCCTTTGTGCCATGTACTGGAACTACCAGGAATGAATAAGAATGAAATTGTTTCTGCTAAACTTACTAACGACCTAGTTACTATTAGATGCTTTTTAGTCTTTTCCTTACTTAACTTTTCTGTGCTGTTTAAGTTGCTTATCCCCTCCGTCCTTGTTATTTGCCTCTCTTTTCAGTTTTTGAATATCACTCCTCAGGTTTATTCTTCTCAGCTCCAGAATTCATCTCTCAGTCTCTTTTGTGTTATTCTTTTTTGTCTTTTACTTAAATGTTGGTGCTCCTAAGATTTCTGGCAAAATATGTCATCCTTAAGTACTTTGTCCATGTGATTAGTTTCAACTGATTACCTAAAGGTAAAAGACTCAATCTTTCTATCTAGCTTTTTCCTGAGCACCATATCTATATAAGCAGTTGTGAGGCATCACCATCTGGAAATCCTGTGAGCTCCTCAAATTCAATGTGCCCAAATATGAACTCATGTTTCCCTACTAAAACCTATTGCTCCTCATTTTCTGTCTCATTGCTTAGAATTGCCATCCACCTAGCCTCTAAAACCAAATGTATACATCATCCTAGAATTCTCTCATACTGTAAAACATATACTGTCCCTGAAGTAATTTCCACCTCCTAAATATCTCACCAGTTTATTTCTAAATAGCTCCTAAGTGTTTCTCTTTTCTTATTCCTAGTGACACACGTCAGACACTTTATGCATTGGACCAGTTTACTACAATAGCCTCCTTTGATATTTTGCCAAAAGCTCTACCCCCTTCATTGAAATCTTTAAATCAGAAATCTAATGTCATCTACCTGCTAAAGTTATTTACAAATATACAAGGAGAGACATAACAGCCCTTAAAAATCTATATGAATGTATGTCATATGCCCATATTAACATGTTGGGTGCACATGAAAAATCACCTACAAAGGTGGAAAAATGGTTAAGAACCAAGGCCCTGCAGTACCAACATGGAATGTAAGGTCCATGATTATCTAGGCTTTCTCACAGCCTCTTCTAATCTGCTCAAATAACACGGGACTACGAATGCTTCACTCTTCAGGTGTATGTCATCAAACATTTTGAAGCCTCTGGTTTTATATATGTTGCTTCCTGTAACAGGACAGTTCCCCATCTCCCACATCTGTCAGCTCAAGCTTTCCTTCCTTCACTATTGATGACTTCCCTCATTTCTCTAGACAATTATTTCCACAACACTTAAATTGTGTACAAGTGTATGCATTAGAACTACCATTTTGTGCATGTCTAACCAATAGATTTTTAAAGACAAATGTTTTTCCACCTGTATTCCCAACATGTAGTAAGATCTTAATATTTGTTGACTGATTAAATAGGTGTCCATGCCCTCAAAAACTCAAGAAGAAACGGACGTGTTATTATTATACTCCATAAAAGTAATTACAAGTGCACCTGGTAACAGGAGAGCCTAGGGTGTAGCGGATAAGTAAGATCAGCTCTATCTGGGATTCAGAGAAGATGGTCAGAGTCATCAGAAAGGGGGATTATGAGTACACAGATTAAGGCAATGAAGATATGCTCAAGATTTAGTTAAAGATACTACTTGGTTGACACACTTGAGGGAGATGGAGGAGCGGAGGACAGACCCCAGGTTTCTGACTTGAGTGTGTAGAGGTGGCATAATCAGGATGCAGAAATGCAAGAGAGAAGAAACAGGCTTGACTCATGAAAAAGAACTACCTTTCTCTTCCATATTTTTACCTATGTATGTGGGCTCACATTGTTCTAATCCTAAATTTTTACTTTAAAAAAAGTAAGGGGCTCCTGGGTGGCTCAGTCAGTTAAGCATCCAACTCCTGATTTCAGCTCAGATCGTGATCTCAGGGTTGAGATGGAGCCTGGCCTCAGGCTCTGTGCTCAGCACAGAGTTTGCCTGTCCCTCTCCCTCTGCTCCTACCCCTGTTCCCTAGCGCTCTCTCAAATAAATAAAGGCTTTAAAAATAAATAAATAAGAGGTAAAAGACAGCATTGGTCAGTAAAACTAGATTATTTCAACTCTACGTTATACCTATAGAAATGGAAATTAACTAGTTTATGTTTAGATTATAATAGTACTTTCTGGATTAGCTAAACAGATAATTGCATGTTGAGCAATTAGCTCTTCCTAAAGTTTGCCCATATCTGTTACTAAGTTACTAAAGCTAAACACTGGAATATGGAAAGCAGCCAACACTATGAAATGAAAGGATTCTAGGTATAGCAAATTTAAAAACATTTATGAACTATAACTTAATCACTTGTACCACTTTGCGTATAAAAGTGATTTACTGGGAGCCTGGGTGGCTCAGTTGGTTGAGCGGCTGCCCTCGGCTCAGGTCGTGATCCCAGCGTCCTGCAATAGAGTCCCACATTGGGCTCCTTGCTCGGCGGGGAGCCTGCTTCTCCCTCTGCCTCTGCGGCCACTCTGCCTGTGCTCGCTCACTCTGACAAATAAATAAATAAAATCTTCCAAAAAAAAGTGATTTACTGTGCAATTATATGATTATAATTGAAATTTTTACTAGATGATACCACACTTAAATTTTTTTAAATAAAAGTTTGCCTTCTGATTCAGATGCAAAGAATAGAAAATGCAAATAAGAATAAACACAAAATAGACTAGTAAGTCTTTTGATTTGCTTAAAGTAGTTCAATGCCATTTAGCTTTCCTGCATAAAACAGGGTATTTCAAAGTGCCAGACGTACATAGTCTTATATATAAAATTATTCAAATTAAATTTTCTGGTTTGTCAATACCAAGCAAAGTAACATGGAAAATTTTAAACGTAACATGAAAAACCATGGTATTCTAAGAAAAAAAACTTGTAGTTTTCCACATCTTGAGCATTTATTAATTTGAGCCGATGTTAGTGAGTTAAGTGTATAATTTGAAACTGAGTGTTTGACACGAGCAAGCATAATTTGTACCGAATATAAAAACGTGATGATTTCACTGTGTACTAAAAACTGTCAGTGACTTATGGAGATAGGATTCTGTAGTATCCTATTTGATACTGTGAAAAGAAGCTAAAAAGATTCCTGAGCCCACAAGCATGACCAAAAAAAAAAAAAAAATCTTGGCATTTGAAAAATGCCAAAAAAAAATCTGGGCAATTGCAATTGTTAGAATGATGGGAATTCATCTAATGAAAGTAATTTTTCTCTCTGCAAACTGTCTTTGTCAGATTTGAAATAAATCTGTATTCATGAAGAGTGACTGCATACAAACCACAGTATGTCAAGAAAGAAAAAAGATCCAATAGAAATGCTTCATTCTGGGCAGCTGGTAAAAGTCTGTGCCCCAATGGTTCGATATTCGAAGTAAGTATTAGTAAATGGTTAATGAGCTAAAATGTGATTTCCTTTTTATGCTGTGACCACCACTTGGGATCATCAAACACCTAGCTTTGGGGTCACGATCTAGGCTTGTGTGCTGGTGTTACTCTTTTCCTGTTACGTGTGTGGTCTTGAGTAAACAATAACCCCTTCAAACTTCACTTTTTATATCAATAAAAAAAGATCGTGCTTGTAACCCCCACCTATAAAGATACAGAGGATATTAAATAAAAGATACTAAGTAAATGTAAACATTCATGCACAGGTTTTCCTGACTGTAAGTCTTCTTATGTCTGGGACTACAATTGCTAGGTCATGTGGTAACCATGTGTTTAGTTTTTTTAAGAAAACAAATTTTCCAGAGTGTCTATACTATTCACACTTCCACCAACAGAATATGAGGGATCTAGTTCTCATCCTCACCAACTTTTGATAATATCATGTTTTTTATTTTGGCCATCTGATAGGTATGTAGTGATACCTCATTACAATTTTAGTATCTATTTCCTTTACAGCTAGTGATGTTGAAAATGTTTTCATGTATTTATTTGCCACGTGTATTTTTTTTTAAGATTTTTTTTAAAAGATTTTATTTATTTATTTGACAGAGATCACAAGTGGGCAGAGAGTCAGGCAGAGAGAGAGGAGGAAGCAGGCTCCCCGCTGAGCAGAGAGCCCCATGCGGGGATGCGATTCGGGGATGCGGGGCTGGATCCCAGGACCTGGGATCATGACCTGAGCCGAAGGCGGAGGCTTTAACCCACTGAGCCACCCAGGCGCCCCACCACCTGCATATTGTTGAAGAAATGTTTCTCTGTCTCTTGCCAATATTCTAATTAGATTGCTTTTCTACTACTGAGTTGGTTTTTTAAGATTTTTCAGTTGTGGTAAAATACAACTTAGGCATTTTAAGCCTTTGTCAGTGGTGTTAAATGCATCCACATTGTTATACATCCAATCTCTAAAACTCTTTCATTTATAAAACTGAAACTCTACACCTATTAAACAATAGCTCCCCATTCCATTCATTCCCTACACCCTGGCAAGCACATTCTAGTTTCTCACTCTTTGAACTTGGCTACTCCAGGTACCTTATATAATTGGAAATATATAATAGTTGTCCTTTTTTGAGACCAGCTTATTTCACTTAGCATAATATCCTCAAGGTTTATCCATTCATAGCATGTATCAGAATTCCCTTCTTTTTTAAAGGCTGAATGATCCTCCAATTGTATGTATATACTACGTTTTGTTTATTCATTTATGAACACTTGGGTTGCTTCCATCTTTTGGCTGTTGCAAATAATACTGCTATGAACATGGATGTATAAATATGTCTTTCAGTTCTTTTGAATATATGCCCAGAAGTGAGTGCTGGATTATATGGCAATTCTGTTTTTAGTTTATTGAGGAATTGCCATATTGTCCATTTTTTCATTCCCACCAGCAGTGTACAAGTGTTCAGTTTCTCACCATCCTCACCAATATTTATTGTATTATTTATTTGCTTTTACTATAGCATCCTAATGGATGTAAAGTGTTACCTCATTGTGGTTATGTCCCTAATGATGCTTAGCATCTTTTCGTGTGCTTATGTCTACTCAAGCCCTTTGCCCATTTTTCAGTCATGTTTTTGTTGCTGAGTCTCTGTTTACTACTGAGTTTTGAGAGTTCTCTATATATTCTGGATACTATTCCTTCGTCAGATTTGTGATTTGCAAATATGTTCTCCCAGAATGTAGCTTATCTTTTCATCCTCTTAACAGGGTATTGCAGAGCAAAAGCTTTTTTTTTAAAGATAAGGTCTAATTTACCACTTTTTCCTTTTGTAAATTGTGCATTCAATGTAAGGTATAAGAGAACTTTGTGTAGCTCTTAATCCTAAAGGTTTCCTCCTATTTTTTTTTTTCAAAAAGTCTTGGTTTTTTGTTTTTACATTAAAGTCCATAATCAATTTTGAGTTAAATATTGTGTAAATGTGAGGCTTAGGTTGAAGGGGGATTTTTGTTTTGTTTTGCCTGTGGGTGTCTAATTACACCAGCACCATTTGTTGAAAGGCTATCTTTCTAGTATTGAATTTCATTTGCATCTTTGTCAAAAATCATTTGGGCATGTTTTTGTGGCTCTTTATCTGCATTCCATATCCTATTCTACTGACCTACGCATCTATCTCCCTACTAGTACTACACAATCTTGATTACTATAGCTATAGTAAGTCTTTAAATTGGGTAGACTAATTCTTCACACTTTATTTTTCTTTCTCAATATTGTTTTAGCTATTCTGTTCCTTTGCCTTTCTCAGTAATTTTAATATGATTGGTCTTTATTACAAAATATCTTGCTGGAATTTTCAGAAGCATTGTATTAAATGTGTATATCAATTTGAGGGGAATGGAATTCCTTTCTATGTTGAGTCTTTCAACTCGTGAACATAGTTATCTTTCCCATTTATTTAGATCTTTGATTTTTTTCATCATTGTTTTGTGTAGTTTTCAGCTATTAATTGCTGTACATATTTTGTAAGACACCTGATTATTTTTCTCCTTTTTTGTAGCAATTGTAAATGGTTTTATACTAATATTTCAGTGTCCATGTATTCACTGTTGCTATATAGAAATAAAATTGATTTTTATGTTGATTTTGTATCCTATAAACTTACCGAACTTCCTTATCGGAGGGTTTTTAAAATAAATTCCTTGGGATTATTTATTTAGACAATCTGCTCATCTACACAGAGGGACAGTTTCATTTTTTCCTTTCCATCATATGCCTTTTATTTCCTTTTCATACACTGACTAGAAGTTTCAGCACTGTGTTAAATAAGAATGATAAGAACAAGCATCTTTGCTTTGTTAATGATCTAGGAGGAATATGTACAGTTTTTCACCTTTAAGGATGTTAGCTGTAGGATTTTTTTTTGGATGCCCTTTATCAAGGGGAGAAAGTTCCTTCCTATTCCTGTTTTCTTAAGAGGGTTTTTTTTTTTTTTTTAATCATGAGTATTATTTTGTCAAATGCTTTTTCTACATTGATAGAATTATGTGATTTTTCTTTTAGCCTTTTAATAGAGTGGATTATATTGGTTGAATCTGAATATCAAACCTTCTGTTTTAACTTTTTTTTTTTTTTTCCTGCCATCACTATAGCAGGAGAAGAATGAGAAAGCACTACCTCATTACTATGAGGTGAAAGTAGAAGTCCTGATTTCCTATTTGGTCTCCTTTGATGCTCTGGGTATAGGAGGCTCCCCACTACTGCTGAGCTGGGGGTAAGCCATGGAGGGGATGGCCTGGTACCTGTTGGGCTCTATTGAAAGTCCTGGCCCTTCACTAAGCATTCTCTGATACTACTTAACAGTGGGAAGGGAGAAAGTACTTAAGTTACTGACCAGCAAGTATTAAAGTCCCAGCTCCCTACCAGACCTTCTCTGACACCACTGTGAAGAGGTGTTAGATAACTTTGTTTCAGCCCTGGAAAGGTAGAAGTGTAAGCTCCGCACTAAACCTTTGCTTCTGGAGGTGGGGCCACAGTTTTATCTCTGGCATTTGGCTGGAGTGAGCCACTATTTTAAAATTGTTCTTTCTTGCTAGTCTTCCCTTTTCCTAGCCTTTGGTCAGAGAGAGCTGACTTTTGTTGGGGCTCTTTTTGTCTGCACTCTCCATATTTCCGGGTTGCCAGCTTCTTCAGGTCCAAATCTGGTATATCTGAGGCAAAAAGGAAACCCAGGAAACTCACTGCTATTGTTCCTCAGGTCCCAAGGTCACTAGCCTTTCTGCTCTCTTCTCTCCACCTTTCAGAATTTTCTTACATTTGTTTTATATATAATATACTGAGCAGTGTTAGAGAAAACAAAGTTCAACTAAGTAAATGTGAAGATCTCAATGACTTTATTAAGCAATTCATGAATCATACAGCATCTCACTTGGCAAGTAGAGAGATGCACCACGGAGTTGTACAAAGTAGAGGGTTTTTACAGGAAAGAGGGTGGAACAAGTTATTAGCAAAAGAAAAGAAAGGATTGATTCAGGCCAGGATATCTTTTGGTGGGGATTGGAATGACAGGGATTTTTTTTATCCTGCAGATTACTTTACTACTACTGTTCAAGAAATTTCAGATTGACTTTTAAAAGGTCACGTTCTTGGGATAGGTTGAAACTGTAATTAGGTCTTGGTTTGTGGTCATGGAGGGGCAAATTATTCCAGTTTGGGCTTGTTTTTCTTTTTCTTTTTTAACAGCCAGAATAGGGAAAAGTACATCTACTCTAGCCTCTCAAAGGTAGACCTTTCCTCTAATAAATATTTAATAATTAAATTAAACTTGGAAGTACATATGATTGTGGTGTTTTTTTAAATGCCTAATGAAAGTTTTATATGTTCACAGGTTGGCTTTTAGAACATTAGTAAGAAAATACAGTTGTGATCTATGCTATACACCAATGATAGTTGCTGCTGATTTTGTCAGATCTATAAAAGCCCGAGACAGTGAATTTACTACAAACCAAGGTATGTGAAACCCAGAATTTGCTGACTTTGTAAAACTAAAAACAAACAAACAAACAAACAAAAACCAAAAACCCTTGTCTAATTAGAAACAACACAATTCAGAGATTTTCTTTTTAAAGCTTTTAGGTTTTTTTTATGTTTTTAATAAGGTTTTTGTGTTTTTATTCAGTGCCTTGTAAACTATGGATGATATATCTAAGCATGAGGTCAGCCTTCCTTAGGGCCCCATCCTCTTTCCTGAGCTATTAGGTTCCTATCTCCCTGCCTCCAGTCTTGCCCCATTCCAAACCATCCTACAAATAGCCCAAAGGAGCCTTTGTAAAATGTAAATTTGATCACATCTCTTCCCTGCTTAAAATCCTTCTTGGACTGCTCATGGCCTAAAGCAGTGGTTCTCAAAGGGTGAAACCCCAGACCAACAGCATTAGCATCATCTGGAAACTTGTTCAAAATCGAAATTCTCAGCTCTGCCCCAGGCCCACTGAATCAGAAACTCTGGGTATGTGATCTAGCAATCGGTTTTAAAAAAGCCCTCCAGGTGATTCTGAGCTTGCTAAAGATTGAGAACCAGTGGCCTAAAGAGTAAAATTCCAGTACCTGCCAGGGTACTTGGCTGGCTCAGTCAGTAAAGCATGTGATACTTGACCTCAGGGTGGTGGGTTCTGAGCCCCAGGGTTAGGTGAAGAGATTACTTAAAAAAAAACAAAAACCCTAATACCTGTGAATAATCTATAATATTTCTCATGATCTAGCCTCTGAATAGATCATTTGCAGCTTTGTCTTCCATTAGTTTTTTTCCAGAGACAACCAACTTTATTCTTTTTTTTTCTTCTTTAAGATTTATTTATTTATTTTGAGAGAGAGGGAGAAAGTACATGCACACATGCTAGCGGTGCAAGGGGCAGAGGAAAAGACTCTTTCAAGCAGATTCCCCACGGAGTACAGAGCCTGTCATGGGGTTCCATGCCACGATGCATGAAATGACCTGAGTGGAAACTAAGAGTCAGAGGCCTAACCAATTGAGCTACCCAGGCGCCTTCCACCAACTTGTTCTTTATTATTATTATTCTTTAATAATACTACCTTACTTAAGTCCCTTAAAATGCCCCATCCTCTCATACGTCTCTACCTTGAATATCCTTCCCTCAGCTGTACCTGCCCCCAGATCCATATCTCTCTGGCAAACAACACCACATGCTTCTTAATCCAGCTCTCAGGGGTTGCGGCCAGGGAGTTTGCCTGATCACCCTCTGCTATCATCCTCTCTCACAGGCTTTTTGTTGAACTTAATCCTACTGTATTAAGATACCCTCTTTGTGTGCCTGTCTCCCATTCTCTAGACTATCAACTCCTTGAAGTCTGGAATTACCTCTTATTGATTTGTTTCCTTAGCTTTTAGCCCTGTGTTGAAAATATAGTAGACCAATAAATGGTTATTAAATTGAAACTCTATAACTCTTTAAGTTATAAAGGAAAAACATCTTAAATCCTCAGGGAGAAGCAAATTCTCCTATCCTGTGTTAGTCCTATAAATCAGTAGATTGCCAGAGAAATTCTGAATCAAAAAAATAAATAAAAAGGAAAAAAGGAATTCTGAATCCATGGAACTGGGATGATGCTCAGAAATCTGCTTTTGGCAAACACTCAGTGAATCCCATACAGGTAGTCCTCAAAATGACTTTAGAAAAATTAAAATACATCTATCCAGAGTTTATAACACTCACCCAAAGAAAGATGGGAAAAATATGTCCTTAAAACTTAGGAAGTATCTGACACATTTGCTTGATTAAAATGTAAACTTTTATATATAAGAAGAGAGTACACATACTCAAAGACAAACCAAAACCTGGAAAAAGTATAATATTTACAATAGAGGGGCACCTGGATGGCTCAGTTGGTCAAGTGTCTGACTTGGGTTCAGGTCATGATCTCCAGGACCTGGGATCAGTCCCTACATCAAGCTCCATGCCCAGTGGGGAGACTGCTTGTCCCTCTCCCCCTCCCCCTGATTGTTCTCTCTCTCTTAAATAAAATCTTTAAAATATATATATGTGTATTTAAGATAGCAGAGCTAATTTCTTTGTTTTATAAATAAAATTTTTAAAAATACTAAGAAAATAAAGAATAATTAAGAATTACATCTAGTGGGTTGCTGGGTGGCTCAGTCATTAAGCGTCTGCCTTCGGCTCAGGTCATGGTCCCAGGGTCCTGGGATTGAGCCCCGCATCCGGCTTCTTGCTTCTTGGGAAGCCTGCTTCTCCCTCCCCCATTCACCTTGCTTGTGCTCTCTCTCTTGCTGTGTCTCTCTCGGTCAAATAAATAATAAAATCTTCAAAAAAAAAAAAAAAAGAATTACATGTAGAAAAATAGGCAAAGGGTATGGAGAGAGAACCCACAAATAAAAATACAGACTGTTGGATAGACAACATAGAATAAGTTGTGAGAAAACGAGAACTGCCATGCGTATTGTTGTGTATCTATATTGGTAAACTCTTCTGAAAGAAAACTTTGTGATGTCTATCAATGCCTATCTGGTAGTTACATTCCTGGGGATTTACCCTGTGAATATACTCAGGAGTAGCATGTGTGTAACAGTATTCTCATCACAGCACCGTTTCAAAAGCCACAAATGAAAAACAGTCTAGAAGTACACCGTATGGTCCATCCATACAGAAATAACACTACTAAAAAGAAAATAGGTCTGAGTACAGCTCCCAGATGCATCAATGAGAAAAGAAAGCAGTAGGCGTGGAAATGTATATAGAATGTTCAGATTTGTTTAAATTTTACAGGCATACATATATTGTTCCGGAACACAATAAATTAATCCTCATCTTTGGAAATGGGATCTGTTTGTCATGAGTGTTACAATGTTCACTTATCAAATTTTATGCTGTTTGAATTTGTACTAAATGTAAATTACTTTTAAAATATTTAAAATTAGTTTAATGGTATGTTGTTTGAATAGGTACTTCTTAGGCTGAAAGTAATTATCATTATCCCATACAAACATGAAGAGTTCGGTGTATCGTGTGTGTGTGTTTCTGTGAATTTTAATGTTGAGCTATTCATTTTATCAGGTGATTGCCCATTGATTGTTCAGTTTGCTGCTAATGATGCAAGACTTTTATCTGATGCTGCTCGTATTGTCTGTCCTTATGCGAATGGAATAGACATTAACTGTGGTTGCCCTCAGAGGTAAAGCTTAAAGAAGTTGGAAGAATTTTCAAAAAATTAGAAAAAAACTATGTGAACATGGTAAACTATTTCTCCAGTTTTCCAAGAATAAAAAAAATAAAGAAAATGGAGTTAAAGCACTTGGGCTCCAAATAAGAAGCAAGAAAAAAATAAGGAAAGATTATTTAGGAACAGATATGCAAAGGTGTTTTCTGATGGCTAAAACAAAGCATGGATAAGTGTTTCATCTTACCTCACCACTAGAATTTTTTTATGTGTGGATCCACCTTGAACCTAATCCACGGGTTGTTAGGGAAGACTAGAACATTTATAGCAGTCCATAAAGTGAATTTTTACTGCTATGTCTGACAAGAAGCTGTGATTCAATGATTTGAGAAATTGCCCCTTGTTTTCTCCTAATTAATTTTCTCTATAAGAATACCTTCTTATAATTGCCTTTTCTTTCCATACCACAGTTATTTGGTTGAGTCTAAGTAACTGGGTACTGATAGGATGCTTAGTTTGACATTAATATCCCTACCTTCCTAACACCATGTTAGGTTTTCTGTCAATAATACAAAATGTGTCCAAAGAATAAAATCAAGGTTTTAAGTACATCATAATCCAAACCAGATTAGACATATTTGTATACTCATTAGGAGAGTTAAGTAAGCTGTTTAGTGGTGTTGGAATGCTGTAAGCCAAAAATATCTTACTACTATTAAGATTAATAGAACATCTTGTTATGTACAATAAACATCAAATTTGGAATTTTAAAAATCTGAAGTAATTGAAATTAATTACAAATACCTAAGTCTGTTTTGGTTGAATGAATTTTAATTTAATTTTCTTACTTGCCAATGAAAACCATTTCTCCTAAGTACTTTTTGATCTGGGAACATGTTTTCCTTATCTCCTATTGATCCACTTTAAAATGTTGGATCTGTGAATTCTAAAAAGCTGAGATTCCATTCCAAGTCACTAAGATTGAGAAATAGATGTACTTAATGATGCTTTTAAAATTGTATCTCCTTGTCCATATATTTATAATTTATTTGTTATGTCTGCTTTATAAAGGTGGGCAATGGCAGAAGGTTATGGAGCTTGCTTAATAAACAAGCCAGAGCTTGTTCGAGATATGGTGAAACAAGTAAGAAATCAAGTGGAAAATCCCAGATTTTCAGTATCTATTAAAATAAGGTAAAGACATATTTTAATCTACTGACAAGATAGTCTGTTACTTAGGAAATAAAAAAATTCCTTTTGTCTAAGAGTGTGGATGTATCCATCCTTAATAAATTGGTAGCTAGTGTATGGAAATGTTGAAGTAAGACATTTAGTAAATTACTATGTGACATAATTTTTATTTATAAAAATAACAGAACTTCATTATTGGGTTTTTTTTAACAGAAATTAAAACATCCCTTTATTTTTAAAAACTTCCTCTGAAAAGAAACCCTCTGTTTTTTTTCCATGTACTGCTTAATTGATAATGCTGAGAGGGGCACCTGGGTGGCTCACTTTTAAGCGTCCAACTCTTAATCCCAGCTCAGGTCTTGATCTCAGGAGTCGTGAGTTCAAGTCCTGCATTGGGCTCCACACTGAGCCTGGATTCTAGTTTAAAAAAAAAAACAAAACAATAATGATGATGCTGAGAAACATTCCTGGTACCAAGAGTAGAAAATAGTAATAATGTTTGCACTAATATTCCACAATGAAAAGAGAATAAACCAGAAATAGGTTTTTGGGTGACAGGCTAAAAACATATTTCATGATAATGTATTATATTCTCCCACTCGCAGATTGGGGCATACACAAAAGATATTAGGATACTGTCTTTCCATTCCTCCATTCCATCCAAGTATTCTTGGACGACTTTTTCAGTTATCAAAACCAAAAGGGTGAAGCACTAGGTAAGGTAAAATTTGTCATCCTATTGTTGCCAATAGTGAAATAGCTAAATTTGAAGTCTTAGATGGAAACTGATTTCTGAACAAAACCTTTCTGATAGTAGCATGTGGTGATAATATAGCAAAGCTAACTGAATAATGTATCAGATGAAATATTATTTTATTTAGCTTATTAATTTTAGCATTAAGATTTGTATGCTGTAAGTAGACTGATGTAATTTTGAAATTGCAGGATCCATGATGACCTTACAAGAACTGTAGATCTTTGTCGAAAGGCTGAGGCAACAGGAGTTTCTTGGATTACGGTCCATGGAAGAACTGTTGAAGAAAGACATCAGCCAGTTCACTATGAGGCTATTAAAATAATTAAGGAAAACATGTCTATACCTGTAATTGCTAACGGAGACATCCGAAACTTAAAAGAAGCAGAAAATGTGTGGCATATTACTGGGACGGATGGTAAGAAATAAGTACTTGAGTTTTTTTTTACTTTTAATTAACAAAAAAAAAAAAATGTGGGGGTAGGAGAGTAAGGTTAATGTGATTTTTCATTATTAGTCTTCAAAGTGGAGCCATATTTTCCTGTTGTACTGATTTAAGCTAAACAGTTTATTAAAATTATATTAACTCTTATACTCAGAGGCAGAAGATTGTTTTAATTGGGGCAAATTAAATCAGTTACTTTTCTGCCACCATCATATCCAATGAGTGGCCAGTTAGAAGGCTATTAGTAAAATAGGTAGCCTTTTCATAAAATAGAAATTAGTGAACACAGAGCGGTCATAGAGCCAAAGGAACTACATACTGCTAAACAGTTTTGTTACTCCCTTAAATTATTGGCACACCAAGGCCTGTGATAAGTGTTGCTAAATGGGAGAATGCAAATAAACTTAAGCAAACCCAATTTATGACAATCTGGATTAACCCTAAAAAAATCCCTAGAGACTAATTGTTTAATGTAGAAGTCTTTAAAAAAATTTTTAAATTCTTGTAAGTACATTGAAACATTGTTGAGTTTATAAACAAATCAAATTGGTTTGTAATTTAGACTAATACATGATTATTATGAAACCTTGTAATACTTTATTTTTCAGTATTCTGTTTGTTTCATTAAGTTTGACCTCATACCTATGAGTTCTTAATGTGTGGACAAATGTAATATGCTTTAATTTATAGGTGTGATGGTTGCAAGAGGACTCTTAGCAAACCCGGCCATGTTTGCTGGATATGAGGAAACCCCACTGAAGTGCATCTGGGACTGGGTTGACATTGCTCTTGAACTTGGAACTCCATATATGTGTTTCCATCAACATTTAATGTACATGATGGAAAAGATAACTTCAAGGCAGGAAAAAAGAGTATTTAACGCTTTGTCAAGCACATCAGCAGTCTTAGATTACCTTACAGACCATTATGGGATTTGACTGGACTTCCTAAATTACCTTAATATTTACTTTACTTTATATCTACAGTGAAACCACCCAAGGTCACATTTTGGTTTCTACTTTAAGTCAGTGTCTCTCACACATTAGCATAAGAACAGAACCCTAAGAACATTTTAAAAAGTTAGTCCTAGACCCCATCCTCAGAGATTCTGATTCAGTAGATCTCTAGGGTGGAAGCAAAATTTAGTTTTAAAGAAGACCCCAGGTAGGGGGCCTGGGTGGCTCAGATGGTTTAGGCACCTTCAGCTCCTGTCATGATTCCAGGGTCCTTGGATGGAGTCTTGTGTTGGGCTCTCTGCTCTGTAGGGAGCCTGCTTCTCTCTCTGACTCTCTGTCTCTCATGAATAAATAAATAAAGTCTTTAAAAAAAAAAGAAGAAGAAGAAGACGATGACGTCAGGTAGATCATACATCCTGGTCATCCTACCAAACATTTGACAAATAATTGCTCTGAATCCTATTATGGATTAAAAAAAAAAAAAGACCCTCATTTTTTTTTCTGAAAGGAATTGTGTTTTTAACATTTTTAAATAAAACTTATTTTAATGCTAAAAGTGAGTCCTATAGTATTTATAAGTTAACATGAAGCATGTTTGAGTGAAAATAAGTGCAAAGTGACAGAATGAATGCCAATTCTATTTAAAATGAAAAGGAACAAGAAATCCTGTATAGAATTACTTTCAGGGCTTAGATTAAAAATTCAAATTGGGAAATCAAACTGGTACTTCCTAATTCACAAATGAAACCTCGATGTATTTATTTTAAATGATTTTTTAAAAAGATTTTATTTATTTGACAGAGATCACAAGTGGGGTGGGGGGGCCAGGGAGCAGGCTCCCTGCTGAACAGAGAACCTGATGTGGCAGTACCCTGAGATCATGACCTGAGCTGAAGGCAGAGGCTTAACCCACTGAGCCACACAGGTGCCCCAATTTTAAATTGTATGTAACCATGTTTAATCATGTGTGATGTTTTCAATAATTTAAAACTAAGATCCATGAAACTCTTTAAATGACATTAACTTTGTTACATTTCAAGTCTTCTAGATCCTAGAAGATTGATAACTTGGTAAATACATCTGTACCTGAAATAAAATTAGTTTAGTCCCCGAAATTTTATGTATAAAATTTTGGTAACCAACCTGGAGATGATTATATATTTGAACTATTTCTTAGAGAAATTTAATTTTTAACTTAAAAATCTAATTTTCATACCCTGTTTTTAGTGATTTGTTTACATTTTTATGCCTTCCAGCAGTTGATAATAATTTTAATTTTTTAAAATAATTTTAAGTTCCATGGTCTGGGAGTGTTACTAAGAGAATTTTATTATTGGTGAATGTGCCATTGCAAGAATTAAGTATCTCAGTTATGAAAAATAAAACAGTTCCATAGTTAAGATACTGGTCTATACTACCAACATGAGAACTGTATAAGGGGACAGCTATCTGTTTGGCAGTATTAAATGAATCCATTTTGAAATAAACACCGTGTTGCTGTATCTTTTTAGGCACATTCTGTACTTTCCTTTTTCAGTTAACATATTTTTTTTTTTTTAAGATTTTAGTTTTATTTATTTGTCAGAGAGAGAGAGGGAGAGAGAGCGAGCACAGGCAGACAGAATGGCAGGCAGAGGCAGAGGGAGAAGCAGGCTCCCTGACGAGCAAGGAGCCCGATGTGGGACTCGATCCCAGGACGCTGGGATCACGACCTGAGCCGAAGGCAGCTGCTTAACCAACTGAGCCACCCAGGCGTCCTCAGTTAACATATTTTTAAAGATAACTGGATTTTTCATTTGATATAAGTAGTATATGTGCAAATAGGGAGCTATAGTCAAAATTTGTAATTTTTATGTGTTTACCCATATAATTAACTCTGAATTGAATTCTACTAGTGGTGTGTGCACGGCAGCATAGAAGACGATACAGCCTTTCAAAGGAACTGGTGTAGAAGAGCATGGAGTCCTAACTGCGTTTGACTTAAAAAAACAAAACCCACCTTCCTTATAGTTAATTTAAATTTTGTCTTAATTCTCTTTTCTGTGTGATCAAGTATATTTGTAATAAGAAAAAGCACCCACTTAAATGGATTTTTATATTCTATAATTATCTATTTACATCATTTAATATTCCCAAATTGTCCAGGAGGGTCATACTGTCATTTGCATTTCTGATATCTTGTCAATATTTAAAAAGTGTATTCACGCAATTCGAAAACCTGGAAAATAGTAACTGAGGGAATGCACCCACACACATGGTTTTCCCTCTTAGTCCCCAAACATCTCTCCAGTGTCTTGGCTCTTCCCAGCCTGCAGACAGAGCAGGAAAAAAATGTTTTGAAGCTGCATATTTTTTCCACATTCTCAAAAGTACAAAATGGTGCACAACCAGCAGTCCTGCCTCTTCCATTTAACTCTAGCGACTGTTTCTACGGACGGAAGACGGAACAGGAAAGCACAGGAAAAGAGCCCCTTTCTAACAGGTCCGCTGACTCCGCGTCCTGCCCCGGCACCGTTGCCCCTCCGTGGACCCCACGAAGCTCTTTCAAGAAAACGTCGGTTAACCGCGCCCCTCCCGCCAAACCACACTTAATTAGAAATTTAAAGTCGGCTCTCTTGAAGCAGTTGGCTGGGGAACCCCAAGCATTCGACCGAAAAGTCTGAGTCACCCTCTAACTCCACCATCAATTAGAAAACAATTATTGCTAATCGTCCTCCTCACGCCGTCAGCGATCTCGGCGGGCTCGCGCCCCGCGGTTCCGGTTTGGGAGCTGGCGGGGGCGGGAAGGGGGGTGGGGCGCTCTCCTCCAACCACCCCCCCCCCACACACCGCTCCCCTCCCCGCCCCCCTCGCCCCGCCGCGGCGTCTGACGTCCCGCGCGTCGGTTTGTGCGGAGCAGCGCGGGGAGCCAGGCCGGCCGCAGGCGGGGTAAGGCCGGACGGGTTCCCGGGAGCGGCGGGCCCCGGGCGGGGTTGAGCGCCAGGCCGCGCGGGGCGGCGGGGTCGCGCCTCTCCCTCCGCGGTGGAAGCTCGGAAGTTGGCCCAGCCCGCGGCGCGTTCGCGGAGTGGGAGGGCCCCTGGGCGCGGGCGTTAGCGGAAGGTAGCGTTAGGCTCCTTCGCAGCGGTTGGGGGGGACGGCAAACACGTCCTCCGTGCCGCGCAGGCCGCCTCGGCGGTTCCGCAGGGCTCGCTCCGGAGGTGGAGACGCGGACCTCCCGGCCCACCCTTGACCCCCGCCCCGGCCCTCCCGCTGGGAGTTCAGGCCGGGTACCTCGGGTGAGAGGAAGGTCCGACCCCCGTCAGTCCCCTGGACGAAAACATTGCGCCCCAGGGCCCTTAACCAAGTGGGTCTTTGAAAGGCGGCAAAGTAAACTTAAGCTTTTCTCTATTTAGGTGTGAAGAGAAAAAATGACACTCCAGTGGGTGGCAGTTGCAACCTTTCTTTATGCTGAAATAGGACTTATTTTAATCTTCTGCCTGCCTTTTATTCCTCCTCAGAGGTAGGAAACCTCCAAATCTTTACAATAAGTATACGTTTCAGTAAGCACAGGAAGCATCATTAGCTCCTTATACTGTTTAGTGTGATACGGAAAAAGTTTTCTTAAGATTAAAAAGTTTTGAATGCTGATTATTTAAAAAGTGCTGTTTAAACTCACCAACTTTAGGAACTGTCTAATAATATTAAAGAAATCACTTTATATAAAACGTTTTATTGTGTGTACAAACGCATTAGCCGTTTCCCTCACTTCTAAAAGGAAAAGGACCGCCCTTTTGGTTCTGTTGATTACAAATATGATAAAGCGTTGGTTGTACTTATAATACATGTTGACATCAAACTTAACCTTGTTTATTGCCCTGAATTGGAACAGTGAACTAAAAAAAGGGAAATGGATAAATGAGGTTAGCAGCACGCAGGGGTACAGAAATGTTTCATTGAGGGAGTGGAACAATGTAGGAGAAGTTAAACCAGTAAATGATTCTTAGTGTTCTTATGTAACCCAAAGATAGTTTCATTAATGTTTACTGGCAATTTTACTACTTTTTTCCATACACAGAATTAATATGTACTGAAAGTGCTGAATATGGAAAGTACCACAACCATACATTAGTGTTAATTCCTTAGTAAAGCCCTTCAAAGGTCTTTAAGTACAGTACTGAGCATTTAAATTGAAGCCTTGGCTCACTTTGCCCCTATAATAATCCTCATATGGCTTGGTTTGAGGGCCGTGGGGGGTGGCAGTTAGTGTAGTGGACACACAATGTAGCATTAGTTTCAGGTGTACAACCTAGTGATTCAACTTCTCTGTGGTTATGCCATACTCACCACAAGTGTAGCTGCCATCTGGGGAGTTAGTTTTAGATCCAGAAAGTTGATAATATGAATGGTGAAATGCACTTTTAATAAAAATGTTGCAACACCTTTGTTCATGCTCATGACATAAAAGAAAATCTTTCATAAATGAGATCATAGAGATAAATTCAGTGAGATTGCATGACTGGAAAAGATTTATGAAAGTTTTTACTTTGGCTCAGGGTCCATGTGGTCTTTACACCTCTTAACTTGCTTCTTACCTACCTGCATTGCTACTCACTTCTGTCCTTGTCTATCAGCTATGCCATCACTTCTTTCTTCCTTACTAAAGAAAAAAAATTGAATCATGCCGTTAAGAAGGAGCATTAGACATCATTTTTTTCCAACCCACTCATTCAGTAGTCTGAGTAGTCTAAGGTCATCTAGCTGATCCATGGCAGACTCCAGACAAGAATCTGTCTTTCAGCCTTGTGCTTTTTCTACGCTGCTGCTTATCCTGTTTGTTTCAAATCTCTATAATGCCCTGTTAGCTTTTTGGTAGTAGTTCCAACAAGAGAGTCCTGTATTCAAGAAAAGGAAAGATGTTATTTATAAACCTCTGATTTATAAATAAGGCCTAAGAATTTGCAAGCATACACACACACACACACACACACACACGTGTGTGTGTGTGTGTGTGTGTGTGTGTATGTGTTTATAGTCAATATTTTCTGCGTGAAAATGGTCCATAGATTATGGATCTTTTTCTTCCTGCCAAATATAATTTTTTTCCTATACAAGTAGCTCTTTGATAGATACGTATGTAAATACACAAATTATATATAGGCTCATGTACAAATATACATAAGAAAATGTGTGGTGTATATATATCTATATAAATAATGT